GTCAGAACATGAGTTAACTGATGTCTTATCATGGTTTTAAAACGTAGTAACTCATAACCTTGCTTTAAGAGATTTCATTTGATTTTTTGTTTTTATTTCATTTATTGAGAACTCTGATCCTATTTTAAACTCTTCTTTTCCTCTTTAAGCTTCAATTAAATATTTTTGACCTTACATATGTATCCAAGATGACTTTTGACCCCTACCCTATGTGAACTGAGAAGAGAAAGATATTTTAATAGAAATATATTAATTTTGAATCTTGATTCTTCTTCTAGCACTTATGTACAGCAATATTTGTGTAACAATATTGTTTTGTCTGCTTTATAATTCTATACTAAACAATAGTTAATGTTGTTAATTTAACATTAAACATATTTTATTTATATTTTTGATAACTACTAGAAAAGCCAATATTATTTTTCTGTATTTTAATGTTTGTAACAGCAGACTTTTGCTTAATTAGTGTGTTAAGGTTGAATGCTTGATTGACTATATGAGAATTAAAAACAAACGGTAAAATATTTCTACAGTTTAAAAATTAGACTTATTTATGTTAATTATAAATTCAAACTTTAAAGAATTTAATTTGACTTTTTCTTTCTTGGAATGTGAACACAAAAATCAGGAAAAATACTTCTTACGTGCGTATTTGGACGACGCAATGTAAATATAAGTTACAGCACGACCGTCTAATTCTATTTTAAAATAAAATCGTATCTTATCACGCACATTTAAATAATAATAAATAATTTTTATCTCTAAGAAGCCCGAGGAGAAACTTTTGATATTAAGAATGTTTCATTTACTAAAGATAATTTTTTATAGTTTTGATAAGGATTTCACTTCCTACGTCATACTAAAGTATGGTTTCTAATTTTGACTTTTGCTGATATTTAAAATTTGATTGTGAAATTATAAAATATATTGTATGCTTTCTTTAAATGGGAGATATTTTAGTGTATGTTGTTCTTATAAAATATTTGTCGTCATAGAAAGTTTTTTCTTGTTGTTGGAAATTACAAAATCGCTTTTATAAATTTAATAGTTTTATGCAAACATACAGATAACTATAGTTGTAAATTACTGTAAGATGGCGAGATGGCTGAACGGTTAGGGTCTGTTGTTGTGGAAGACCCAAGATCAAATCTGGATGGGATGAAAAACCCAGGAATTTTTTGGGCGAGGTTCGTCTCTCGTGATCTGGCTGCCCTATTGTGGACCTGGATGAACCCATAATGAGCTTGCTAAAGTTAGTACCCACAAGGTGGAGAGTTTAAAAAATATGTAAAATATTTTTTCCAAATATCAACAAATATTTTTATAAAATTTTATAAGTTTACTAAGATACAATATCCTGTAATGTAATATCATGTAGATTTTGTGTAAATAAATACAATTTTTTCCTTAAGTGTTTGGTTTGAACAAAATGTACTACAGTACTTGATAATAGGCTCCTTGGCTTTTATAGACCCTGCTACTATTCACGAAGACTTAAGCTCTAGCTTGTTTTGTCCAAAATTTGTATCCTATGAAGAGTTGTGCATTTGTGAATGGTGATTTGATTCTCCATAATAAAAATATCACAATGCTGCTTCTTGCTTGTTTTGAATGTTGTACATTCAAACATTTGCCAGAGATAAGATAATTTAGTTATTTTTGTACTCTTATATTACTTGAGACATAAATAGTCTGATACTTACAGAAACTTTGCTTTTTTTATATTTGTAAAAGTTATTACTAAAAAACTTCACTTATCTTTTTATTATTACAAAAAAAAAAAAAAAACATTTTGGATATGTTAAAACGTTGAGAATTCAGATCTAACAGATTTAGGTTAATGAAGAACGTTAACTAGTTCAAAGTTACTAGGTTTAGATGCTAAACAAGATTTCCCAATTTTTTTCTGTTTGTAAGGTTAAATTTAAACACTTGCACTGTACTGTTTTGAATTTAATTGTAAATGGTTATTAATAATTATTACAAAAATAAAAAAGGGGAGGCAATAGAATCAAGTTTGCTTAATCATCCCTATCAAAGATCTTGTGTAGAAGTACTTTTTTACTCCATTTTTTGCATCAATATGTTTGATTTTGTACTACTATTTTAATTTTAAGTAAATTATATTCTCATTTTAACTAGGAATTATCTTAAGATGTATAAAAATATCATTTGAATCTATAATTATTTTCTCTCAAAAACTTGAAACAAAACAAATTGTTCATAGTTGACAATAATTTAACCTTCAGTTTGTAGATATATCTTTTAAATTGCTTTATTTTTAGATGTTTTTATTTATTGATGTACTTAAATTGGTATTGGAAACTGATAGACTTTTTGCAACTTAATATTTCTTAAAACTACAAATGGATAATTTATATAGATTAAAATCTTTAATTGCTAACATCTTGGTGGTTTGAAGAAAAAAAACCCATCTTTTATTCTCCAAAACAATCAATAAATGTAGTAGAATTATTGATTCCGGTATGGTCTATTTGATAAATTGCAGATCTCCGACAAGTTGGAAATGAAGTTTCTCAAGGAGATTTCTATCAATAGAATTTTGTAATTAGTTTTTATGATGATTTTATTGGAAAGGGATGGTGTTGATTTATAAAATAATTCTACCTACTTCTGTTGTTATATAATTATCAATTAATGCTTATTCACTCTCATCTAGGAGCTGCTTCAGAAGTATTTTGTTTTATCAGAATTTTTGACTCGATTATACATTGTCGATTTGAAGTTGATTTTACAGATAACTTTTGTTTTTGACTATGGTCCTTTGGGTTTAGTTTTATTCTATCTGTCCTTTTCTAAACTATTCTCCAGAAACTTTCTGTAGATGTTAAACTAGACTAAAATCCATAGATCCAGGTTAGTTCTAAGTACCCCTACAGCATCTAATTTTAAGTTTTATGATCACTTCTTTCCTGTTTTCAGTTTGTTGTCTCTCTTACAGCAGAAGGTGTTCAGATGGGAATCCTTCAAGAGATAAAAGACACAGAATGACCAACAGGTACTAGTATATAATGTTTGACATAACAGGCACAGAAAATTGTCTGTATAGATTGTGTCAAAGGTTAGAATGCTTTGTGTATGAACAACAATCAGCATTCATTTAGCCTTTACCCAAAGGTGAAAATTGATTACTCCTCTATAGTTTGTGGAACTTTTTAGTACGATTTAATTGCAAAAACCGCCAAAAAAATTGCCGATTTGTCCACGTGCTTTCCTAAGGGTTGCATAATTGTTGGTCATTTCTCCATCGAAATTCTTCAAACCAGTTCCGTGCACTTGGAATTAGTACGTATGTCGACAACCTCATCACAAGGATCAGCATTCTTATAGGAATTTCATTTCGCAATCTCTCGTTTTTCTATGCAAATGCTGGATGTTTTGTGAGCGAGGATCGCTTAAGCCAAGACTAAATAGAGATCGCTAAATCAGCATTTTGCCGCCACCTTGACTTTTCGTGCGAGCGTTAATTATACGGGAACAATTTGCCCAAGGGGGTTGGATTTCCCGGAATAATCGAAGGGTGAGAAGTGTTTTCGTCAGCTGTTTCCCGGGAGAGTGACGTAGTTTTTGTTCCGCGGTAACTAAAATATCACTATGGTAACGAAAATAAACGATATTTTGTTGCATTCCACTTAGGCGACAACTGATCTGTCATTCCTATCTTCCGAGGGTAAGTAGGACCTCCGCGGGGGAGGGATTTTACGCGCTTTAAAGTGTTTTCTCAAGTAGTATTTACCATATTCTCTCTCAGCTCGCGATCTCGCGCGATAGTAAACAAAGCGGTCGATCTCGTAAATCTGCGGATCATCTAGAGCAGTGGTTTCCAACCTTTTCATTAGCGTACCCCGTGACATGTCATATCTCTAGATTGTACCCCGTGACATGTCATATCTCTAGATTGTACCCCGTGACATGTCATATCTCTAGATTGTACCCCTCATTTAAGAAATTGAGTGAGTAACCGTATTGTTAATTTTACATATTGTAACTTTAAATTAAAGAAAAAAAACCTAAAAGAAAAAATGTATAATAAAGTTGATTGTTGCAAGGAACATTTTTTATCTAATAATTTTTTTAATACTATTAGTTTGTGATACATAATATATTATTTTTTCTGCCATAATAACTTTTTTCTGTACCCCTAAACAACCTATCGCGTACCCTTAGGGGTACGCGTACCACAGGTTGGGAATCGCTGATCTAGAGATAACGCTTTCCTTATCCTAAATTATTATAAATACTCCTTATCACGGACTCGGAATGTACGCGCTAGTAAAACTATAAATCTATCAAAGTCTAGATATTTCTAAAATATTTTTCATTTAAGGGCTGTCCATAAATTACATTCGCATTTTTCTTGAAATTTTTACTCCCCCATTATCCCAGTTTGTCCAATTTTCTGTAAATCCCTCCCTTCGGATGTTCAACAGAACTCAACTTCTCTCAAAAGCTTTATGCCTTTTATTATTCATAAAGTGATAAACTGTATAAAATTTAATGAAATCAAACTGACTTCCATTGAAGTTCAATCCTCCCTCTTTCCCTTCCAGTGTGGACGCCGTTTATGGACAGCCCTTAGGAAGTTTCGTGTTTTAAGGGTAAGCGCACTTACAAATGCGCGAATCGCAATTTTCTGTATATTTAGTGGGGCAATTATCTCCTTTGATTCCAGAGATGCCTTTTTTTGTGCATCTTTTTGTGGCTGTATGTGTGCGCTTTCTTCTTCATAAAATCTGGCATTTGTAAAATAGAGACCTCTGCAGGAAGGAGATCCTAGATCAGGGGTGTCCAACAGTTTTTGCGCCCTGGCCGGATTGGAAAGAAAATTTTTTCCAGGGGCCGAACCAGAGGCTGCTCTAGGAAGATTTTGAGATGGTGCGAGATCTCATTGTGGTGTCACCCCGTAGAGACTAAATTGTAGACAGAGATTGCAGATACATTTTTCACATTATTATGCTTTATCAACACACTACGCTGTACTTAAGAGATTTGTAATGGAGGGTTAACTCTAAACGCGCAGTGAGGAGTTGACCTTTTTTAGGCGTCAGAATTTTTCATCGATCTATTTGGACTTCAGTACGTAATATTGAAAGATTGATCGCGAGCCACATAAATTTATTAGACGGGCCCGCGGGTCGTATGTTGGCCATGCCTGTCCTAGATCCTTTACTGAATGTTCTGTTTTACGTGGGGAATCTAGTGTATAAATACCGAAAGGTAACTGCTCAGAATATCTGAGTGTCTGTTGATTGCCATAGAAATCTGAGCAGTTACCTTTCAGTTATCATAGAGGAGGATAAGAAAAAGCCTTCAGGATATAACAAGGCTGTTCGAAAAGACTCTTTTGCTGTACAGAAACCAAAGTCCTCTGTAGATAGTAAAAAGTCTTTTAAAGGTCTTACACGGATTTCTTACGGAATTAATTAAGATATCTTACTTTTCTACACAAAACGTAAATTCGCTAAGTCTTAAAGGGCCTCCTTCTCTTAAGGTCCCGAATACGCGCATTTCTAATCGAAACTCGATTTGTCCCTATTGCCTACCGATGTTGTAATTCTTCACCAGCGAAAAAATGCTAAATCATTGGTATCTCCGCGTCCTTGTCAGTCTAGTTTCTAATCACGTGAACTCGGTCCTTGGAAAAGGGTAATTAAATGCTTTTAACTAGGCTGTTCCATCGTTAATGGGACAGTGACGTCATCTCTACGTCCCACGGAATCGTTTCCCGCAGCGCTTCGCGATTGCTTAAATCCCGATTCGTGAGCAATCCGTTTTTTTCGGAGCGGTGGGTGGGCCACTCGCCCGATTCACGTGCGGACACGTTTTCTTTTTTTTCCCCCTGCGATCGATATCTTGTCGTCTGTGACGCATTTCTCCGACCTTCCACGCTCCGTTATCGGAGTGTACATGCATTACGGAGATAATTACCAGATACGGGTCGCATCCCGAGCCGCTACACCGATGACGTCAGCGGTGTGACGACAAAAGCCGGTTGCTTTAAAAACCTCCGATGCGCGGGAGAGTGTTTAGTTTTCGTACGGATACGCGACCGGATCGTCAGGTACGCACCCTTTCTTTCGTAGCGAGATTTGCGGCGAGAAACGACTCCAGATGGAGATCTATTATTTTTGACATGGTTTCGCCGAATTATTTGCTCGGGGAAGTTGCGTCACTTCCCTTCTACCAGGATGTTTTTTTTCTGTTCCTCGTGATTCCGCGCGCGCCATAAAAGTAGGTGAACGTCCCAAAACGGACGCGAAAGAGGTAGTATTTCGATCACGCGATCGCCCCTCGTGTCTTGGACGTGCGCCAGGTGTTGCGTCAGCTATAGTCTGGAAGAGGAGGCTAGAAGTCGGTTCGCGTGTTCTCCTCCACATCTCGTCAGGATGATGTAATTTAATGTGTATCCTCGTCATAATGTAATTAGTTGTGTAACTGATTTTTTTTAAACATTTTGCTTTCCTTTGTAGGCAGTGTGAGGAAATCCAAACGTAAACTTTCAATGTCTGTGGCTGTTGATGTGGCAATGCCAGTCTACAAGGATGCGGTGGTAATTGGTGAGTATTTTCTTTGTTTTTTTTTTTTTTTTTCTGTTTTAGTTGGACCGAACGTCGGTGACCGATTCTAATGCTTCGCTGGCGGGTGGATTTCCTCTCGCCCAATTTTTTATCCTTAGTCGAATGTGTTTTCCTTTTTTTATATTGTAATTGTGGATTTATCAATTTAATGGAGGAGGGTAATGTCGGTCTTTGTGGAACGGAATAAATAACTGCCATCTTCGGCACAATTTTCATTTTGTGGCAGTTTTTTGTTGTAAGGAATTATTTGATTTGTTCGTGCCGATAACTAAACACACTTTATTTATCTTATTGGCAGTGTGTGACATTTGCATTGATTCATGTTATTAGAAATGAGTGTAGTGAAAGTAGATTTTACTTTCTTGCCTGTTATAACATAATGCAAGAAAGTGGTGTAATTGTGTCGGATTTGATCCTATGGATGTTTTACAAATCTCGAGTTTTCAGACCCCTAAAGTCAAAAAAGGGGGAATTTCGGGGAGCGTGTGTGTTGGCATCTGTTGTATTTAAAATCTTGGGATGGGTTAAAGATTGAAATGAAATTTGGCACGGTAACTTGTATATAAGGGGACATTGATGCTATTAAATTTTGTAGTACTGAACTTGAGGGGGTGGGGAGATAGCAGAGACCGTACCTCGGCTGTGGGTAAAACTTAATGAAAATTTTACTTATATGAATTTTAAACTCTCTGAAAAAGATTTTTTTAATCAAAATTTTCCGTTATAAAATTTCAAAATAGTATCCCAAATTTAAAAAAAGTTTTTCAAATAATGCTGGTTTATCTGACAAATTTGAGTTAATTTAAATAATTGTATTCTGAATGATAGTATATTGATATAAGGGTGATTTGTACTGCCTGTCTGATTAATCATAAAAAGTGGGGAGATAAAAGCAAATGCCATAAAGCTTGTTAGTAATATGCCAACAAGGAAAATAATATCTTACTAATGTAGTTTTGATTGTTAGATTTGGGATTGGGTTGCTGCTATTTAGAAGTGAATTATTAGAAGCAAAATTAGAGTTATAGTACTTATGTCATGTATTATCTTTTATAAAAATCTAATAAACAGACAGGTTTCAATATAGTCTAATTTAATTGTTTTATTCTGTAGGAAATGGTCCGTCAGCAATTACGCTCTCCTACATGTTGGCTGGAAACTGGCCATACTATAATGGATCTTCTCACCCTGTTGACTTTTTACATTACAGACTACAAGACAACATTGACAAATCTCTTGTTGAACAGGTATTTTACACTTCAGTACTATGAAATAGCTCCACATTTTTTTTTTTTTAATATTTTGATGCCAATTGAACAATAAAATTCTAACCTGTATACAGGATTTACGATATTTAAGTGAAGGGCTAGAAGGCCGTTCTAACAATCCGGTCTCTCTGTTGTTCGACGTTCTCAACCATCCGGAAGCCGACCTGGGAGTGGACAATCCTTCCCTTCTCTCCTGGTGTCACGAACCGTGGCGAGAAATAGATCACGTTGTCTTGGGCAAGGGACTGCCGGGTGGAGCGTGGCACGTAAGTAGATGTCTCCATCAAAGTAGACAGTACAGTACTTGCAGATGCTGATGTTTACATAATAATTGCAGAAGATGGAAGGTAGCATTTTAACTATTAGTCTTGGATCTTGGATGGAATTACCAAACCTGAGTATTAGAGAATGGGACATGGCAAGAACAAGGTAACTTTTACGTTTTGGCATTTTCTTTTTAAACTGAAATCTTTTTTAATGTTAATTCATACAAATTGAAAATAACTGATTAACAATTGTTTGGTTTTTGAAATGTACACTAAAACTTTGTCTTCACCCATTCATAGCAAATGAATTAGCACGTTCTAATTGTTCCGTGACAACATTATTTTTGACAGTAATGTTCATTAAACTCTCTGAACACAGCTATCTTCAGTCATATTGTAATGCTTTTTCATTGGTTTCCTGTATGAATAGATAAATATTCACATGAAACTGTTACAATAACAATTTAATCATGCAAAATAGGATGCTATAAGCTAACTGATAATCTAGAATATTACTAGAGGTTTGTAACTTGGCAATAAAATGAAGCAATTAACTAATTATGGAAGTGGATGAGCACACATTGCTATAATTAAAAAATTTCTATATTTTAGCATTCTATAATACAAAATTTAACACTAAATTTGAAAATCAATCATTAATTTTCAGCTTACAAAATTTTTATTTTTTTGTGATAGTCACTTTGTATTACCTACTTGTAGTGCAATAACTATTGCCTGATTATGATGACTTAATATTATGGTTGGCAATCTTATTAAATTTTTCATTTTTAGTTCAAAATCATTTAAATTATTATTTAACTGTAAAAATCACATAAGTGATATTGTCCCTTTTTAAACATAGTTTCATACTTTATACATCATACATCAAGTTTATCATGAAGAATATTTTGTGTTACATTCAAATTTGGACACTTAATTTTTGAATAATTTAATTTTTTAAGAATTTCTTGTACTTTCTAATTATCTAGTTTATAAAATGCAGTTTAGTTGTTTTACAAATTCATTTCTTCTAAAGAAAATAAACTACTTTACAATGAACAAGAAAAAGAAAACTTTGTTTCTTGTCACAGTCCATTATTTAGTGTTTGAAAATTTAATGGCAGAATGGTCAAGGTGGCAGACTACCACTCTGGGAACCTGGAATCGAATCTGGATGGTTTCAGAAGTCCCAAACATTTTTCAGGTGGTGGTCATCTGGATGCATGGCCTTGTCCCACACCACCCGGCTGCCTCACTGTGGGCCTGGCTGAACCCATAATTGGCTTGCTAAAAGAGACCCTTTTAGTACTCACTAGGCAGAATGAGTTTAAATTTTCAAACTATATTTTAATAAAAGATAAATGCAAAAAATTTTATTTTATCACAGTTTGTAATTATAAGATGCATTTTGAAATACAGTGGTGCCTCGTATAACGTACTTAATCCGTTCCAGGTGCACATCCGTTAAGTGAAAAGTCCCATAGAAATACATGTTAAAACATAATTTGTTCTGCAGCCTAAAATAACCGTACCAAATGAAAATGAAGCAGTAAACGAATGAAAATGTAGCAGTCACCAATTATGCCGGGTAGTCAGATGTTGTGAGGAGGTGGAGGAACACTTTTTTCACACATTCACACAGATACAGACTTTTTACACATTGCAGCAGGTCTCTTTTTATTGTTTTTTAATCGGAGTCAGATTTAGAAGAGGCTACCGGAGCTTGCAGGTCAACTCCTCTTGTTCCATATTTTGTTTTTTCCTTGCTGGCTTCTTGAAAAACATGTCCAAGGTGGTCTGTTTCTCTCTCTTCTTCAACACTTATCGGAAATGACGGGCAAGGGTGTCATTGTAGAAATCATTGATCCTATTGGCCTCAGCTCTGTTTGGATAATGAGTGTTGGTAAACTCCTGAACCTCTCCCCATTTGACAAGGAAGTTTTTGTCAACTTTCTCTCCTTCTGATGATTTCTTGCTTTGTTTCAATTGAAATCACCTTTCTGTTTTTTTAGAAGCCATGATTTGCACAACACTTGAATAAATGTAAATACCCCCCTGCACTGAAGTGATGTACTGTACGTAATAAACAAGAGAGCAAGCCGAATCCCAACGGAGCTCTGTACTTCAGATATACTAATAATATATTCTAATAATACGAATATATTATAAAAATAGCAGATTGTCATTGGCAAACGAATGGAAACATCATTCGCACTTGTTCGCAGAAAGTCCGTTGTTTGCAGCCAGTCCGTTGCTCGAGTCACGTAACGGCCAAACAGAGAGTCTTTTGTTCGCAGCGTCCGTTATTCGAGGCGTACGTTATACGAGGCACCACTGTACAATGAATTAAAATGATGTGTTGATTGAAGGAAATATTTTCTAAGAATATTACAAACTAAATGAGTAATTTAAGGATTTGTGTATTACCATGAAGAGACAATTCGATCCAGGCTTCTAAACATGGATAGTATTGGTTTGAAGCATCATTTCTTATCCCTGCCTATTCTGGCCAATCTTGTCAGATGGAGCAAAACAAAGTAAATAAATGAAGCTGCAGCTATTTATGTAATATTTGTGTTGTGATCATAACAGTCAATTTCTAAGCAAAATTTATTGCTGTGTATTTTTCAATTATTGCAAGGGCTGAATAACACTTTATTATTAAAATTATTTTCAAATTGGTAAATCAACATAAGATTCTATAAGCAAACATTTCAAAAAATTTTGTACTAGATCAGGGGTGTCCAACCTTTTTGTTACTCTGGGCCGCATTGGAAGAAGTCATGGAGTTTTGGGCCACAAGTATATATAATATATACTTGTGGCCCAATATACAAGTATATTTAAGGATTAACATGTCTAGATTATAATAATAAGTATTAAAACTTTATCACGA